AAGGTCTCAAGATCTTCCAAGATATTTTTAAACCATCTTGAGATTTTTCCATAGCATCTCGAGATGCTTAAAAAAATATAAAGATTTTTTTAAAGACCTCATGATTTATAAAGCAATCTTGAAAGAAACGCTGAAATTGCTTTCTTAACTTGAGATTTTTCAACAATCATGATACTTTTTTTCAGCATCTCGAGATGCTATGAAAAAATTTCAAGATGCTTTGAAAGCATATTGGAAAGATCTTGAGACTTTTAGTTTTCATCTTAAGATTTTCTGAAAGATCTTGAGATTGCCCTGAAAAATCTCAAGATTGTCTGATAAGATCTCAAGATTTCGTCTAGAATATTGAAATCTTTGGAATATATATATGTTGAGACTTTTCCATTTTTATCGAAGCGTGAAGACCCCCACTGCGGGGTTCATTATGATCCGCTATGTAACAGAAAGGTTTTTGTCCTCTAAGCTGTAAACAGCCGGAGAGATTATGATCCGCTATGTAACAGAGAAGTTTTTGACCTCTAAGCTGTAAACAGCCTGAGAGAATATGATCCGTTATGTAACAGAGAAGTCTTTTACCTCTAAGCTGTGAAAAGCCAGAGAGATTATTCCAAAGTTCTCTGCTCAGTCCAATACTAATCTGCTAGCTGTTTCATTATCCCCAGTACCATATGATGTCGCAGAGTAGGATCTCCAAGTAAGGTTATGTAAGCTACTTAAGACGAAGCCGCATGGGACTAATTAAGGAAACTTGACATGTTACGAAACATGTACAAACATGTTACGAAATATAACATGCTGCTTTTGCCTCCTACATGCTGTAAACTAAATAAGTAATCGAGCGTACTCTGTAAACGACCTTCCGGTCATTGAGGGGTAACTGTCATGCTTTAATAACACGTTTTGTTTAGTAACCGTCTTTATGACAAGTGTTTCACATACGAATTCGTAATCTTAATAAGTATTTTATCCAGCAATGCAAACTTATTAACACTTATAACTCTACTTTAATAGATTTTATCATATGTGTATGAGTTGTAATAGATGTTGTTTATTTTAAACCTTTTAAATGGCCACGTCTTTAGTCTTAATCTTTGTAATTGTGAGCAAAAGTGCAATTCAGAACCCCCGGGTTCTGCAAAACTGTTTTACATTGACATCAATAACCAGTCATATGTAAACATGCTGGCAAGCTAGCTGAAATGTATTTACAGTGTTCATTGTTTTCTTATTGTTGTAATAATTGTTTGTGTTATTTGTGATTACTGCTGTCTTGTATTGATATTTCTCGCCATACAAAGGACAGTAAACAATGAACATACTTCATTCTTATGGCTTAGCACTACCAATTCAATAATAAAAAGAGTATGCAAGGTTTTCACACAAGTAGAATATACGCCTTCTGCAGTGACCATGGAGGTAAAATTAGATATACTAACAATTCTCAAATGTAATGCTTTTTTCCAACAGCACTTCCTGCTTTTCAACGAAAAATAGGTAAGAATAGAAATGGAAGCTCGCCATACAAGGTTGTCATAAAAACAAAATATGGATGGTAAAATTGATTTACCGAGAAAAACGTCTTGTCGTTTTGAAGTGGGAGACAAAGAGAAAAAGAAAAGAACAGAAAACCTGAAGGTAGTTTTTGAACTGAGTTCTGAACTGAGTATAATATATGGTAATGTATGGTGATATGTCTGGTAAAAATTCTCCACTACCGTTGCCCGCAAGCAAGTATAAATATTTGGATCAGGCTGGAAAAAGTATTATTGCTCTAAGTTCTGGGCTGCAACGCACCGCACCGAATGTCCCCCCGCCTCGCCATCTTGACATGGGAGACAACGAGAAGAAACAGGTGGTTGGACGCTATGGAGAATCGGACAGAAGGTTCGAAGACGTGGATCCGGCTGGCTACAGTACCTTGGCATCGGGGTTCTGGGCTGCAACGCACTGCACCAAATGTACCCCCACCTCGCCATCTTGACATGAAAGACAATGAAAAGGACGAGTTTGGCATACGGAACGAAGAATCGGACAGAAATTACGAAGATGTGGATCCGGCTGGTGAAAGTATCTTCACATTAGGTTCTGAGGTACAACGCGCTGCACCTGATGAACCTCAATATGTTGACATGAAAGGCAAAAAGAAGAAAAAGTCGACGGAAGGAATAAAAAATCGGACAGAAAATACGAAGATGTGGATCCGGCTGGTGAAAGCATCTTTGAAGAGACGGGTGAAATGGGTGAGCACATGTCTGGCGGTGTCGATGTGATAATAAACTCTGGATTGAAACGTCCTGTGCCCGACCTTCCCCCTCCTCGCAACTCCGACGCTGGAGACCGCATGGCTGAGGACAAGCCTTCGGAGGAACCTTGCTCAGATCCGTGCTACGAACAAGTGGGCAATGCTGGACACAATGCTGGAGGTATGTCAAGTAACTTGCAAAACATGTATTTGTACAATTTTTGCACCTCTAACTAAAAGTTCTTTAATATCTAGTGCACTGAGGGTGCTCCCACTGACTAAATGGTGGCATCGATTTTCACTTGGAATAGTTCTAGAAAAATGTGTTCTAAACATATTCGAATCCGGGGTTGATAATTCTGTTGGTTGGTATCCTACGCACAGCGTGGCAGCAGCTTGTCATTACATTAAACGACCAATCTTTGTTGCCTGATGGCATTTCTAACTGCAGGTGCTGTTTAAAACTGTATGGTATTGTGAGGATGCCCCAAATTGGTGGCAACGAGTTCCACTCTAAAATGTTTCTAGGAGAATAAGTTCTAAACATCTTGATCCCAGGTTGATTATTCAAAGACTGAGATTTTAATACTATATGGCCCAAATTCTTGTACAATACCCCTTTTGCTTGTGTAATATTATAGTATGAGTTTAAACTATATGTGTGTGTTTATTTTTTAGGCATATTGTATAAAGAATGACGTCTGTCCTTGTTTAAAATTAGTCTGGTACTGTTCACACTATTTGAGCATTTGTTTATATCTTATCCTTGCTCTTATCCATGATACTCTCAAAGTCTACTCGCAAGAGAACTAAAAGTATTTTTGCCAAGAAAACTTTTTGTCATGTTTTCATTTTCATTCATAACAGCTTCTTATGTTTGTCATATTTTACATTTTGAGTGTCAAAGGATGGACTGTGCTTTCCCCGAACCCTGGATAAAACCAACATTAATACCCCCGTCACATTGCGCGTAAATCGATCGGCCGACTAGTTGGCGACCTCTAAACGACATTTACGGCCGTAGTTCGCCCGATGTTCCGTCGAGCATCGCGCGAATTTTCGGGATCGCCGGCGATTTTTTGGAGTCGGCCGAAGCTCGCTGACACGCGAAACGTGTCCTTAACATCAGCGACTAGTCGCCGGCGATTTTTGAGGTCGCAGAGCTCGTTTCCAGCTCGCGCGTAGCTCGCCCGTAGCTCGTCCCTGTACGGCCGAGAGTCGACCGATATCCGGGCGTGCATCCCACGAGTCTCGGCCGTTCTTTGTTAAGGTTTCAACTATATAAGGCTAAATGTCTAGGTTTTGAACCCAACTGATTGAACGCACATGGAATCCTTACCTTGTTCCTTTAGGAGGTGTGTGGCCTTATTTTAGAAGATTGCATTATATTGACTTTTACACTTGTTCATTCTGGAATGAGGTTGACTTGTTTCTTAGGGTACCCACAAGAACGTCATGGCTCTTTTTACCTCTGTCGATCTACTTTGATGCCATTGGATTGCTACTAAACTTGTTCACCGTAAGATACTATTTCATACTATTTCAGACAGAAGTATAGAGGCAACGTTTTAGAACAATATATATCTTATCAGCTTTGTTCAGGTACGTACACGTACACGTGTATAAAAAAGATTTTGATAGAATGATAATCATTATGTTGTCGTACATTTTGGCTGAATGGTCTAGAGATCGTGCGAGCGTCGATAGATCGTCGACCGTAACTCGGGCGGCATACGCCCGTGTGTTGCACGCTACGAGCTATGGCCGACTCCCGTTTGGTTAAAAAGGTGATCTTTATGTTAACCAGACGGTATTGTAAACTTGTGGCTCTTGTGGTAGTATTTGGATTGGATCTTTCACAGAATTCCTGTTTATATTTCTATTTTATTCTGCCAGTCCGCTCCATCACGACAGGTCAAACATAGAAATTGGCCAAACTATTCATGTTTAGGTGGATACACTGGCCTTGCTTCATCTGCTTGCCTTGTCATAGGGACTTCATTATCATAGATGTATTCCCAACCGATCGCCCGAGCCTCGCACAATGTAACAGCGACGATTTTCAAGACAAAAATACGCGCGATCGTCGGTGGATCTCAAAATCGGCCGAACTTTCGGCGATTGACAAATACGGCCGAAGCTCGTCGACAATGTATACAGGGGCATTACGGCGTTCTTACGGCACAGCAACGTCGTCGAAGTTCATCTTGTGAAGTTCGCCTAAATTAGATTGTTTTTAGATGTCGTCAGTTTATAGACATCTATCATGCCTCTAGGATGCGTGAATGGATCTTGATGACACTTTATGTTTATGCAGTAAATGGGGTGGTGGCTACAAGAAGGACAATGTTTATCATGCCATGTGCCCCATAGTGATTTTTAATGGCATTGAAACTGTTAGTTCATACTCTGAACATGTTTCTATTTTTTTAGTTTTAGGACATTCGGCTCGTTGCAATCCATATCTAGATCCTGGTTGTGGAAATGTGATATCATTAGTCCACTGTAAGCTACTGGCATTTTCGTCGTAAACGAATATTTGTTTTATGTTTCCATCCATACTCATCAAATTGACATTTAGTTAAGTCAAGTGATAGCCAAAACATTGACGTTTGGTTTTTCGGCTCGTTCCAACCCAGATCTAAGCTTCATCGGTGAAATTATGGCATTGAATCATTCCAGATGCTACCCCTTCTCACAAACTCGATATGGGAGACAACATTGTGATGTGCTCAGAGCAAAACGATGATCCATACTCAGATCCATACTACAAACCCCAGGAGACTGATGCAAATGAAAAACATGAGGAAAAACGGTTCAGTATCAAAGGTACGAAGGGGGTTTAACCAAGCCATAACCAGACTGTTTTTCAAACCTGTGTTGTTTATTACACTTCTGATATATCTCTTTGCATTGTTACTGGTAAGATTTCTGGTGAAGTGATATCTAAAATTGTCAGCGGTCGGTAGAAGATACGGATTATATACTTCCCGCAGGTTTGGAATATTAGATTTGTTCATGAATAGCAAGGTTCTTTTTATCACAACCATTTATTTTTCAAGCCGAAGTTTCGATGACCTTTTGTCATCTTCATCAGAGCAATTTTGACTGTTTTACTGTGCACTGACACTAGTTGTTACTTGGTGCATAGTGCACTAAAGGTGTTACATAGTTCAAAGTGCACTTCAGCTAGTTTTTTTCTGTTTACAATACATTCCGGAACGTAGCGTAATTGTGACATACATACAAGGCATTGTTACATCATAGGAAAATATGTGGTTCCATATGTAAAGTGTTTCTACATATAATATAAGATTTGTTAACTGACAATACTGCGCTATCACAGTCCCAAATAGAAATTATTAAAAGTCTTGTTACATATGTATTGTTAGGAATTATAATAGTTACAATCAATAAGAAAACCAATGTCAGTTATTAAGACTGTGATCCCAGACATTACTAAGTTAATACCCCCCCCCCTCATCACGGTTCATGACTTGATTGGATTTTCTAATCCATACAGACTCCTTAATCCAACGGATACATCTGTTGTCCTCTCGGTCTATATCTATTACCTTGGCCCCGTCCCAATATATTACACAGTTATTTCTTGTAATGTGGTCTGTGACTGCTGACTTGTTTTCTTGTTTTTCAGCTTCTTTCTTTCTTGCTCTGGTGTACCTTCCCATCTTGACGCTGCCTGCCTCTTTCCTAGTATGTTCTTCTATTCCAAATGTTCTCCTTGTCTCCCCTATGTATACCTTCTTGCAAGTCATGCATGGTATCTTGTAAATGCAATCTGTTTTCACTGAGTCCAACTGAGTCTTCAAGTTTGTCTTTAGGATGTACCAGTAGGTTTCTCAAGGCAGTTCTGGGTCTGACTGCTGTAGCTATGTTGTGTTTCTTGAATATTCTTTCCATGTGGTTCTGTGACTCCTTTTATATAGGGCAGAGTCAGCCTACCTTTAGACTTCTCCTCCTGTTTCTTTTTGTCTTTCTTCTGTTTGGGTCAGCTTTTTTGATGTTCTACTTTTCTGAATGTCCAGTCTGGATAAGTACGTAATATTCAAGAAACACAACATAGCTACAGCAGTCAGAGCCAGAACTACCTTAAGAAACGTACTGGTACATCCCAAAGACAAACTTGAAGTGTCAGTTGGACTCAGTGAAAACAGATTGCATTTACAGGATACCATGCATGACTTGCAAGAAGGTATACATAGGGGGGACAGGAAGAACATTTGGAATAGAAGAACATACTAGGAAAGAGGCAGGCAGCGTCAAGATGGGAAGGTACACCAGAGCAAGAAAGAAAGAAGCTGAAAAACAAGAAAACAAGTCAGCAGTCACAGACCACATTACAAGAAATAACTGTGTAATAGATTGGGACGGGGCCAAGGTAATAGACCGAGAAGACAGCAGATGTATCCGTTGGATTAAGGAGTCTGTATGGATTAGAAAATCCAATCAAGTCATAAACCTTGATGAGGGGGGGTATGAACTTAGTCATGTTTGGGATCACATTCTTAATAACTGACATTGGTTTTCTTATTGATTGTAACTATTATAATTCCTAACAATACATATGTAACAAGACTTTTAATAATTTCTATTTGGGACTGTGATAGCTCAGTATTGTCAGTTAACAAATGTTATATTATGTATAGAAACACTTTACATTTGGATCCGCATATTTCCCTATGATGTAACAATACCTAGTATGTATGTCACAATTACACGACGTTCCGGAATGTATTGTAAACAAAACTAGCTTAAGTGCACTATGAACTATGTAACACCTTTAGTGCACTATGCACCAAGTAACATCTAGTGTCAGTGCACAGCAAACCAGTCAAAATTGCCCTGATGAAGATGACAGAAGGTCATCGAAACGTCGGCTTGAAAAATAAATGGCTGTGATGAAAAGAACTTTGCTATTCAGTCGTTTACCAACCTGGTGAAATTATTTACGGATAGATTTGTTCATATTTTCATATGTTGTTTTTTGTCACCTATGCGCCATGAAATTAATTGTATATTGAACCCCAGAACGTATCATTGGCATGTGGAATAAGGCAAAATCCAGCAAGATCTGTTGGGTCCGCCTGGGATGTCGAATTCTGGTGATTGTGTCAGTCGTCATAGCTGTAGTCCTGTCAGCATACCTCCAACCTGGAAGTAAGGTAAGTCAGACAGTTACCGTTCGGCGAAGAAAACCTTTGAAAGGGGCCACACCAATTCCTTCTTTCTTTAACATTTTAAAGCTACCTTTTGGCAATAGGACGTAAAAAAAACAGGAATCGGAGGACAACTTGAATATGCCAATATTTACTCCAATAAATTGACTGCACAAAGCTAGAGTACATGTGTTACCTCAGACTCTATCTATATTAATTTTATAGTGTAGCACATCAACACATGTTTACATTCAAGAATAGACAAATCAAGATGCTGTAAAATATGGAAGAAACCATTGGTGATATTTGCTTGATTTTTTATCAAGGTCTTACCTCTCATTTTAAGCCATACCAATCAAGTTTTGATGCTTCTTGAATAATAAAAACAAAACTACGGTATGCTTTAATGGAACGTGAGCAATAAAAAAGAGCCTTAGGAAGCAAAGTCTGTACCTTGTGCACAAACACTGCGGTCTGTCACTACGGTATTCTTTCCCATTGCTAGGGGGGTTCGGAAACGTATCGGGTTACGAGACGCAAGCTTGACCGTTTTGAACTACCCGTAATCCAATTAAAAATAATCAAATAGTATTGAAGGGTAAATTCCGTCAAAATAAAATGAAATCATCGTCTTTACATAGCTTTAATGTTAGTTGTTTACGTTAAATTACTAATGTTTTAAAATCTCGCTCCGAAAGACGACTTTTTTCGGGATTTGGAGCGCCGGTCCGAGACAGTCCGAGTCATGTTTTTAGGCAAACACCATTTAAGATGGCTCCGTATATTACCCAAAATCCCCGATTTCTATATTTTTTTACGACTAGGAATAATATCAAAAATCGTGTCTTAGCAATTTTTAATTTCTGATTTTAGATATGTTTTTGTCGACATAATTGTGAAAAAACGGCATTTTTTTTTACATTTTTCGCACTCAATTGCTATTATTTCAAAATCATGGTCCTTTTTCGAAAATCCCTGAGACATGATTCTGGACAAACCCATTACGGTCATTGAGCCGTCAATGAGATATGTTAGACTCTCTATGCTTCCAATCTTAAACGAGGTTTGCACGCATGTCATACGGCATGAATATGAGCAGACTGGCGAGTACAAGCATTGATCTTCAAGGTCACCCCCGATATAACGGCAGTATCTTCGTTTCATGTTCCAGCCCACTACAAAATGAAGGCAGACAAGTAGTTGTCCAGGAAATGTTTTATATTTGTTAAAAGGTGGATTTTTTTTTCTGTTTGGAGGTACACATGTAAAAAGGGGCCAGAAGACACAGATTTACTGTAAATGACCGCGGGTCGGGGCCCAATTTTGACCACCGTGAAAGTTTACAGCACTAAAGTAAATATAGTAAGATGCAAGTTATCCTCCTCTGTTTTGATGTTTTCCTCTTTGGGGATACAGACTATTACACCAAGAAATAATGTGCCCAATGCGTTACCTCACACGCTTTTTATATTAATTTAGTAGTGTAGCATATACATCAACATATGTTTACATTCAAGAATGGACAAATCAAGATTCTGTGACATAAAGAAGCAACCTTTTTTGGTGATATTTGCTTGATTTTTTTTAGTTCTTACTTCCTATTTTGAGCTACGCTAATCAAATTTTGTTGGTTGTGGGATAATATAAAGAAATAATAATATAAGAAAAATAACGGTATGCTAAAATGGATAATAAACAATAAAAAAAGAGACTCGGAGAGCAAAATCTGTACCGGGTGCACAAAATTTTCTTCCTCGTCCTTTGTTATCATATTGTCCACTTTGGGAATACAGAAATTTCCAACAAATCCAAGGAAATAACTAAGTGTAACGTTATATTTGTTAACAGAAGGGGAAAGATGCTTTGAAACCGGACAATGTGTTCGGTTTGAGGCTGACAAATTCCAGCGCCCGTGCGTCAACAATTTTCTACAAGGAAAACGATTCGTTCGAATTCCTCGCCAACACGACTCCATTCCGCTCACCACCAATGCTGAGGAAGTCTGATACTCCATGGATGGCAACGTTCGAATTCATGGAAGAAAATGTCACTGCTGCTTCTTACTCGACTTCATCCCTCTTGTCTTCGAAAGGGGAGTCAACTGAGGCATCTACAAAAGCCAGTTCTTCACCTGAAATCGAACCAATGACCACCACGCTTGAATCAACAACAGGTAAGGGCTAACACACGCCGTTTTTTGTACACACTTTGTCACTCACTTTAAAGGTATAAAGTTTAGAGATATGTTGAGTTATAATTGATATGTCCTATTTGTCCTCAATTATTCTACAGATATCAATGAGTGTTACAACGAACCCTGTCAACATGGAAGCTGTGTGAACAAAGATGTCGGGTATTACTGCACCTGTTCACCTGGATGGACTGGACAGAACTGTCAGCAAGGTGATTTCTTTCTGATTATGCCTTTGTGTTTTCGTTCACGCTAGAAGTCTCACGTTCATAGATATATTGGATTTTAGTTAGTATGAATATGTGTCTTGCTTTATCCCACAGACATCGATGAGTGCATCAGCATACCCTGCCAACATGGAACCTGTGTGAACAAAGGTGGCGGATACAAATGTACCTGCTCACCTGGATGGACTGGTCAGAACTGTCAGCAAGGTAGGTTCTTCTAATTTATCGGTACATGTAGCTAGGATTTACATTGAAAGCATAGATTTTCGTATCTCCATGAATTTTTTTTTTCTGTCAAAATTTCTCTTCCTTGAAAATAGGTTTTGTTTATGAATGGTGATTAAACTCTTTCTTTATCCCACAGACATCAATGAGTGCACCAGGAAACCATGCCGACATGGAACCTGCGTGAACAAACGTGGCGGGTACAAATGTACCTGCCCACCTGGATGGATTGGACAGAGGTGTCAGCAAGGTGACTTCTTTTTAATAGTATTTATTGTCTTTGTGTTGTCGCGTGCCTTAGTTCTGTCTGTGACCTTGTGATTTCTGTGACTTCGTGATGTTACTCACTTGAGTGGTCTCAAGTAAAAAGATATATTGATATATACTACACGTCCTCCTTATCCCACAGGTATCGATAAGTGCAGCAGAAACCCATGCCAACATGGACGCTGTGTGAACCAATATGGCAGATACAAATGTACCTGCTCACCTGGGTGGACTGGTCAGAACTGTCAGCAAGGTAGGTTCTTCTAATTTATCGGTACATGTAGCTAGGATTTACTTTGAAAGCATAGAATTTCCTATCTCCATGGGTTTCTTTTCTGCCATAATCTCTCTCTTCTTTGATAATAGGTTTTGGTTATGAATGGTGATTAAACTCTTTCTTTATCCCACAGACATCAATGAGTGTATCAGAAACCTGTGCCGACATGGACGCTGTGTGAACAAAGATGGCGGATACAAATGTACCTGCTCACCTGGATGGACTGGTCAGAACTGTCAGCAAGGTAGGTTCTTCTAATTTATCGGCAAATGTAGAATTACCTATCTCCATGGATTTCTTTTCTGTCAAAATCTCTCTCTTCCTTGATAATAGGTTTTGTTTATGAATGGTGATTAAACTCTTTCTTTATTCCACAGACATCAATGAGTGTATAAGAAACCCGTGCCACCATGGACGCTGTGTGAACAAAGATGGCGGATACACATGTACCTGCTCATCCGGGTGGACTGGACAGAACTGTCAGCAAGGTCTGTGTAAAAGTTAATTGAAGATTTGGTTAGGTCTGTTCTGAAATATTTGGTGTTACAATTAATTTTCTAAAGCGTTCTTTTCACATCACACAAATATCAATGAGTGCACCAGAAACCCGCCATGCAAATATGGAACCTGACAGTGTGTAAACACACATGGTGGCTACAACTGTACCTGCTCACCTGGATGGACTGGACACAACTGTCAGCAAGGTGATTTCTTTCTGATGTATGCCTTTTCTGTTGTCGCTCACGCTAGAGGTCTCACGTTCATAGATGTATTGAATGTTATTTAATATGAATATGTGTCTTTCTTTATCCCACAGACATCGATGAGTGCACCAGCAAACCCTGCCAACATGGAACCTGTGTGAACAAAGGTGGTGGATACGAATGTACCTGCTCACCTGGATGGACTGGTCAGAACTGTCAGCAAGGTAGGTTCTTCTAATTTATCGGTATATGTAGCTAGCATTTACATTGAAAGCATTGATTTTCCTATCTCCATGGATTTCTTTTCTTTCAAAATCTCTCTCTTCCTTGATAATACGTTTTGTTTATAAATGGTGATTAAACTCTTTCTTTATCATAAGACATCAATGAGTGCACCAAGAAACCATGCCGACATGGAACCTGCGTGAACAAAGATGGCGGATACAAATGTACCTGCCCACCTGGATGGACTGGTCAGAACTGTCAGCAAGGTAGGTTCTTTTAATTTATCGGCACATGTTGCTAGGTTAGCATTGAAAGCATAGAATTTCCTATCTCCATGGACTTCTTTTCTGTCAAAATCTCTCTCTTCATTGATAATAGGTTTTGTATGAATGGTGATTAAACTCTTTCTTTATCCCACAGACATCAATGAGTGCACCAGGAAACCATGCCGACATGGAACCTGCGTGAACAAAGATGGCGGATACAAATGCACCTGCTCACCTGGATGGACTGGTCAGAACTGTCAGCGAAGTAATTTATTTCTGTACCTATATTTTGTTACTTCAGTACTTACTTAACATGTTTTCATGTGCTGCCATGTTTTTGTTTTCATAGATTTTATTAGATTGTTGAATATATTGATCATTATGTTATAAATAATATTTTTTCATTACACAGACTTCACTAACTTCAAGCATCTATACCCAGTTAGAGCACCTATAGTAATTACTAGTACTGTTTGTTACAACCCAACTGGATGCTAAAAGTCGAGTAGCTGTTGGGAGTACAACAGCTAATGATACATGTTCGTGAGAGAACTCAGCTGCCCTACAGAAAACTCGATACCATAAAGCTGAGGTCACAATTCCCACACGGGGCCCGGCCAGGCAGCTCTGGGAACGAAAATATGATATAAAAGACAACAAAACACAGAAAAGTTCTTAATAACAATCATGGACACTTTTTCCGATATATATTTTTGATATGAATTGTTGATTTTTCGTTCATACAAACAGCCCGATCGGGCCCCGGTTTGGAAATGTGACCTTAGCATAACTGCAAGAATCAATATTTATTTGTTTTTAACTCGCTTCATCACTTCACCTGTATATCAGCTTACTGGGCAAAAAAGAGACATTTTTTCTGTCTGCATCAATGGCATGATAAGATATGACGATGAGCTCACTGAATTTACTATTTATATGCTACAGAAGGACAATGCAAGAGTGGTTGGACTGGATACAATATCTACTGCTACAAGTTTGAGAGAAATAAACTCGACTATGACAAAGCTGACACAGACTGTAGACGTCAAGGTGCAAACCTGGCCTCCATCACAAGCCGTGAGGAAAACAGTTTTATTGTAAACCTCATCTCGAAAGGTGGGTATTGAATAAGCAACTCCTCGTAATCATCAATTAAGCATTCATTATGATTCTTAACAAATAATTAAGGTTACGCCTACCAACTGTATTTTCAAGAACACACTGTCCCCTCGTGTACTACGTCGTTTAGTCTAGAGCTATTTGTTTTCTTGTTTGTTTTGCACATTAACCCTAAACAGTACACCTGGGGTCCGCGCGGACCCCAGCGCTATATATTCTGTAATATCTTTTTTGTTTCTAAAGATTTTTTTCTGAAATTTTAGGTAATTGTCACCCACAAAGTTGTCTCTCAATACAATGCAAAAAACTCCGTTTTTACCATTTATAAAAAAAATTATATCTGATTTTCTTTCGATCATAATGGATACACTGGCGTTCTTATACATTACCTTATTTCCGTTTTTATATGTTTTTATGAACTCCTCGTATGTCTACCAAGTTTTCAGAGAATGGTGTAGTAATAGAATTAAATTTTAATAACTTTGGTGTAATTATGACGTCATGTGACGTCAGAGCTAATAATATAGTCCGCCATATTGGATTTTGACCAATGACGTCATCAAATTAGCATATTCTATGCATATTAAATATTTAACTTATATTTAATTATGTAAGATGTTATAAATGTTGGAAAAGAAGTGTAATTTAATATAAAACTCAGAAAATTTTTATGTTTAAACCAAAATTACTTCTATTTAAAAAAAAACTACCCGTTGCCATGGCAACACAAAAAAACATCAACTTACTAGTATAAAACTAATATGAACTTTTTTCCAGAGACATTTTAGGAAAGGTCTCCAAATTTGATACTTCTAGCGCAAGCCGTTTAGCCGCTATCTGAGATCAAAGTTGGGCCTCAAAAGCCCCTTTCAGTCTGAAATGGGTTAAAAAATCGGGTATTTCTTCTTGTCTTCTTTTCTTCACCAAAAAATAGAAAAAGTTCAAAATGTATGATTTTGTATGTAATGTGGACACAGAGGTTCCCACATCNAACACACTGTCCCCTCGTGTACTACGTCGTTTAGTCTAGAGCTATTTGTTTCTTGTTTGTTTTGCACATTAACCATCAAACTGCACTTAGGAATAACACATCAGTTTAGTGCACAATAAGTTCAAGCTGCATAAGACTGGAAAAGACGCGCTTGATTAACAACTAATTGTTCATTGACATGACTGACGATGCCTTCCTCACTCCATTATTGTAATTTTACCGTTTTTGCTAGAGTTTACATGTCCTTTACAGTTACCTTCATTTTACATTTGTATTGGGGGTTGTTTTAATATGTGACATTTACTTCTATTTTAATATATGATATGATGACTTGTTGCCTTTATGTCTTGTATTCCGGTTTTTTAAAACCTGCGCTTCGTTTTGTAAATGTTAACACCCCAATTCAGCCTATGGGCTGCGAGATGTGTCTGACATGTTTGTTGTGTTGGAAATTACAGTTTAAACTTGCTTCATAATACCTCAGAATTGTTGTTCAAGTTGCCATGTATTGCTTGCCTGCAGCCCCAAAAACTGTATGGATTGGGCTTCGTAGAGGTCGAAACTCTTGGATATGGACGGATGGGACACCACTCACATATGAAAACTGGAGACCTGGTGAGCCTAATAACAGACCCAAGATGTACAGTCTCTTGAAAGGTGGAGAAAACTGTGTTTACATGGACTCTAAGGTGGGTGCTCCCTTTCTATTACAGAACAGTACTGAGACCTCTGATGGACAGGTAACACAAATGCATTTGTTTATATTCGGAGCATGGAATGTTTATGCTTAGGTCACATTTGAAACGGCGCCCGTTCGGCATGTTCTCGGCGTAGACGCCGGCCGGCGTCATGACGCCGAGCGTGCGCCGGACTGTCAGGGTCACAATTAAATGTTCCTTTACGGCTCCCTGTCGGGGCCTGCTTGTGCTCAGGCCGGCGGCTCTCATTAATATTCATAAACTTTTGCGGCCGGTTTCTGTCAGGGACCCGTCCGGTGGCCGGTCAGTCGCCCGTCTTGACCCGTGCGGCGTGTGGTAGGGTGCCGACCGGCTCTTACAGTTCGGCCGGGCAGCTGCCAGGTCCCTGGCGGGTTCCTGGCGGGATCTCGACGGGCTCCTCTCGTGTTTTTTGAGCAGGTACATATATAAGCGCTGCACTGCCTGCTACCGTTCACTTCAAGTAAAGAGTACACGTCAAGTAAAGAGTACACTGAAGTTGGCGATGCAGCGTTCAGTGCAACCTGCAAACAACTTACAAGCCCGTCTGAGATTGAGATTGGTGACAACCTACAAGAAGGTCTTCTGGCATTGGTAGCTGAAGAAGAGAGGCAGGCAGAACTGGTGCGTCGCAAAAGTAACAGAGGGCCTACTTTCGAAAGTACTTCAACAGTGACGCAAGAAGTGTGCCGTGGCAGCTCCTTGCTATTGAGCAATAAAACCACTGAATATCGTTACTTCTGTTGAAATTTGGACTGAAAAAAATGCCAATAACTTCTGCTTCCATTTCATTACGAAGGCATATGATGTAACAAGAGATAATGTCAGACACATTTTATTCCTGTTATGATCTGTTTTATGAAGCTGGCAAGAGAGCCGTGCCGGCTGTTTTCCCTTGCGCTTCGACATTCTGACACACAAATACAAGGTGTAACACACACAAGTACACGATGTAACACATACGTGGTGAACTGTGCGACGTAGTCTGAGGCAGGAGTTTATATATGCTCCCAATAAGCCCCTTTTCCTGACCATCTGATGCACTGATCAGCATATGTGACGTCATAACCGTAGGCAGGTGCCTGTTCGGCCGCCCGACGGGTCCCCGGCAGTGAGGTTACGGCGTCGCTTCGGCGTATTTCGCCGAACGGGGCCCGAAGTGTTTTTAACTCTGAGTTAAAATTGATTCGGCGACCGCGCGGGGCCAAAAATAGGCCGGCAGCCGTCGGGAAGCCCGCCGGTCTCCGTCCAGGTCCCGTTCGGTTGTGCCAAAAAACACGCCGAACACGCGCCGAGCGGGCCCCTTTCTTGAATTGTGACCTAAGCATTAGGTGGATTCCGTCTTCTTTCATTGGAAACAATGGTTCAAAGACCTGCATGAGATAAGTACTAGAAGTCACTATAGTTGCTGTTGTTTGATTTTAGCAGTGTGTTTGAGTAAGAATTAACAAAAATGCATTATATTGTTGCTATTTCCATGATGGTGCCAAACATTTCACACACTTAAAGCATATTATTCTTTTTTTATGTAATAGATATTATTTGATATAAAGTATTTACCTCTAAGGCCACATGTTTCTTCTAACTATAACATAAGTATTAACCTAAGTAACCTATGCAACCTAAGTATTTTATTATTTTCTTTGAATATTATTGGTTTACGCTTGTATCAATTTTCTTATTACGTATTCTTTACGTAACATTTCTTATTTACAGGGTGGCAGTAATTGGCTTAATACTGTTAAGTGGGGAAAAGGAGCCTGGAATGACAGCCTGTGCAAGGGGAGCCATTCTTTCATCTGCAAGAAGCAGAAATCATGATATTCTTGTAGATGTAAAAGAAGCATTATACATGTGTACATGCCACAGCTTTGTGGGACCACAGTAAGCAGCAACAATTACAACAATTTGTCATGATTCTTTTTTGCCATGTTCTTATTTATCTTGTAGAGATATATGAGATTTGTTGCTATTGACGTTTCCCTTTTTTATATCATATCACAGACTTAATTAGAATGGTAGCATTACTTAGCTTGAATAATCGAAATCATGCTGTACTAGTGCACTGACAGATACACTACCAAAAATGCAAGAAATAGTTTTCTTGTTAACAGAATATATTTCTTGTATAAAGAAAACTTTGCTGTCTCCAAGCAAATAATTCTGCGAGAGGAGCAAGAAAATATTTCTTGCCTTTTTATAAAAATATTTATCTAAAATCAAGCTCTATTTTCTCACAGTTATTAAAAGTCTTTCTTTAGATAATGTTTCTTAAAGCAAGATTTTTTTCTAATTGTTCTTTTAGTAAGAAAACTATTCTCCCCAAAAGAAAAGATTTCTTGAACTAAGATCTAACTCTTCTTGTAGAAACAAAACTATTCTGTACACAAGAAAAGATTTCTTGAATTAAGATCTAACTGTTTTTGTAGCAAGAAAAACATTCTTCCCACAAGAAAAGATTTCTTGAACTAAGATCTAACTGTTCTTGTAGCAAGAAAACCATTCTCCCCACAAGAAAGATTTCTTGAATTAACATCTAACTCTTGTTGTAGCAAGAAAACCATTCTGTACACAAGAAAAGAAATATATAGTGCTACCTATAAATATAAAACAGACAACA